AAGTTTATCATGAAAACCAAATAAAGATAAAAGAGAATAAGTCAAACTATTTTCAAATAACACAAATTTAAAGATTTTGAAACATGCAATAAAAATAGAAGCTCATTAAAGCCAAACACATCCCATTCCAACACTGAAACAATAGAGAAAAATCTCTTCTGGATCCTACACAGGGTTTGATTGTATTGAAGATCTGATAGTCTCTCCTTTAATTCATCGTTCAACCAAGCTTAAATGTATTCAGCCTTGAATTACCCTTTCAGGATTTTAACCAAGCATCTTTGATCTGAAACCTTTACTAAATTCTTTACACTGAGCTAAAAGTATTTTAGCAATTCTGAACTACCTTTTCACCTTCTCTAGAGCAACCGCTTACACACCCAGCTTAGCCAAGTATCCTGCAGATCTGTCGAAACAGAAAATAAAAAAAACCTTGTTGTTGTAGAGTTATAGAGTCATTCAGCACAGAAACAGATTCTTTGGTCCAACCAGTCCATGCCGACCATGTTTCTAAACTATACTAGTCCCACTTGCCTGCATTTGGCCCATATCCCTCCAAACCTTTCCTACTCATGTACTTAACCAAATATCTTTTAAATGTTGTAACTGTACCTGCACCCACCACTTCCTCTGGCAGTTCATTCCACACATGAATCATTCTCTGTGTAAAAATGTCGCCCCTTGTGTCCTTTTTAAAACTTTCTCTTCTCACCTTGACAATATGCATCCTATTTTTGAACTCCCCCACCCTCGGGGAAAAGATATAAGGCTATTCACCTTATCTGTGCTGCACGTGATTTTACAAACGCCTATGAGGTCACCCCTCAACCTCCCAGATTGTGCATTGAACTCAACAATGATCTCAGAACCCATCAAACCAGAGTGCAAGCAAGTTATCCTCATTCCCAAAGGATTGACTAATAACAACCACTTACATAAATGAATAGTTACTGACAGCAGTGAGCTCCAAAGGATATTATCAACAGTTCAGCAAACAGAAGTTACTTCACAGGATTTCTTGTCATTGAAAGTGAATCTCAGATTTTAATGTCATCCCCACATGAGACAAATTTGATGATTTCCTGCATGATATATCCTGCAATGTATAAACAAGAGATACCTATGAAGTAGGATAGCCAACAGAATAAGGGGCATGGTTAAATATACTGTAGTTTCTCAAATATTGAATAAGTATTGGGTTGGAATGCTAACTGACTTTTCACGTGCGTACGTAAATGGCCACTGGCAACATTCAAACAGATAACAACCTGCATTTATATATTGGGATATTTTAAAGACAAATGTACCCAATTTCTACCTGAGGCTCTAATACGAAGCCAGAAGTGTGTTTAGGAAGGATGACTGAAAGCTGAAAGAAAGGAAAAGATGGATTTTATGAAGATCCATCAGTCTGATACCACAATTCCAGTTTGTCTGGGGCAGGCCGCTCTTACTTGAAGCTCCCTGGATCAGGTAGTCCCAGACCCCCACAACACTTTGTGTGAAAACATTTCTCTTCAACCCCCTCCACCAATTACTGTAATTTTGTCCCTTTGTAAATGCTCTCTTTGCTAGGGTAAATAGATCCTATGTATCCACTTGGTCCAAGCCCCTCATTTTATTAAATTGAGATAAATTTCCTTATGGCCTCTGCTATTCCAAAGAAAACAACCCCAGCCTACCCTTTTTTCTTCATACCTTCTGACAATATCCTTGTAAATCTCTTGTCCTGTCTCTGATGCGATCACATCATTCCAGGAATGCGTGACCACAAATGGAGTCAGTAGGGGTAGGATCAGTAATCCCACGTTCTAGTGTTGCTGTTGGCTCAGGGCCCTGGCCCCTGACCTGAGTAGGAGAGCTCCCCCTAGAACCCCAGGCTCAGGTTACTGGGCCGTGATACACCCCCTCAGTGCAGGTCCCAGCAAGCCATGTTTCAGTTGTCACCATACTCGCGTGTTATATTATTCTAACATAAACTCTCTGCCCCCTTTATACTCTAGAATTTTACTGATAAGGGAAAGTATATCATCCATCTTCTTAACTACCTTATCCACCTGTCCTACCACCTTCAGGGATCCAAAGTCTCTCTGTTCCTCTACAATTTCAAAATGTTATCCATTGTTCTTTATTTCCATGTTTTGTTTCCCCTCCTCAAATGTATTATCTCGCTGTTCTGCAGTCTGAAATCCATTTGCCACTTTTCTGCCCATCTAACTGGTTCATTAGCACCGTCTTCCTGCCTGCAAATTTTGTCAGAGACAATATTTGTTCCTTGACCAACATCAATGGAAACAGATGATTAAGAAGGCTAAGATGTTTAGTGAGTATTTTGTGTTGGTGCTCATTTAAAAAGAGAATGGCTACAAAATATCAGCAGATGTGTGGAGTTTATGGCTGTAAAGGGTGGAATGAAAATTGATAGACAGGATATAATGGAAAGCCTAACTGTGCTTAAATTAAATAAGGTTACTGATTGACTGGCTCTCAACCCAGGTTACGAAGGAAGTGAGGGTGGAGATCATGGAAGGGCTCTCCATAATCTTCCCTAGACACATGGGAGGTGCCAGAGGATTGAAAAGTTCCAAATGAGACATCCTTGTTCAATCGGTATTCTGAGGACATCCTTAGTGATGACACTCTGGTTTGTTTAGTATTGCTGGTGGTCAGTGTTCCCTCTGAGTTGCACGCACAGCCGTTTCGATATTCCACACATGGCGATCAGCATCAGCACACTGATTGTTGCGTTGCTTCTGATTGCCACACACGGGCCTCAGAGGCCCACACAGTCAGTAAGAAAATTAGAGGGAATGCTGCTGCTGGCTTGCCATGGTGGAAAAAGAGATGATCAATCATTTCAAAAACAAATTGAACAGACACTCGATGAATATAAACTTGCAGAGCCTCAGGTATTGAGCAGGGCATTTAGACTCACCGGTTTGCTGTATAGAGAGCTCACCAGCTCGATGGGTAACGTGGCTTTTTTGTATCAAGTGAATTTAATCGGAATATGCAAGACATTCAGCAGAACAGAGAAGTGAACCTAAACTACTTTTGGATACTTGCAAACGGCAGGACAACATCCACTGATTGAGAACTATGAAAGGAAGGGGAGGTTTAGGACAACAGTCACAAACTATTCCCTTACACAAAGAGGAAGCTGTGTCTAGAATAGTTCACCTGCTTGGGCAGTTGATGACCAGGGCATTAGATTGATTCTGGATATGTTTGGATGCTACATTGGAAAGGTGACAGGCCTTGTATTCTGAACGAAAGAGGTCAAGTAGTTGCAAGTGTTATTTTCATCTGAATCGATCATGTATTGTTGGCCACAATAGAATTGTTGGATCATTCTTGTTTTGCAGAGATCTTTCATTTTGCTGTCCTCAGTTACAGAGACACTCATTGCCTGAGGATACTGCAACAAGCTGCAATGTCTGATGAGAGTGATTAGTGTGGAATATTAGAGGACAGTAGCCAAGTGCAGAAGCTGCTACAAGGCAACATCCTTTGCACTTTCATACTCTCTTGTCATTTTTACAGAACTGTAACTCCCCTGAGGGAAACCAACAGGCAGTGATGACAAGTAATTTATGTCATGCCACCTCATGTCAATCAGCTTCAAGGTTCCTTTGTCAAACAACCAAATGTATATCCTTGATCATGATTTCTAGTTTTTGCATGTACAATAACTATTTTGAAGTTCATCAAAGATAGCAACAATTCAATGGTTACTGCAGATATCTTTGGAACAATTAGTAATAAACAGTTTGCAATCATGACTTTCAGCTTCATAAAATGCTTATGTTTAAACTGTGTCCTTCAATTTAAGATAAAATAGAATCTTCTGGAGCAGAAGATGGTGATTAGGCTAATTTTGCCCGGAGACAGACGCATGTGATCTGTAATGGATTCCTTTTGAAATACAAATGACAGGGACAGTTGCTTTATGAGACAGAGACACAGAAAAACGGAGAGAGAAAGAAATGGCTACTGCTTTGTAAAGCAAAGGAAAAGACTGTATTTGTGTTAGCAACCAAGCAGCGTATGTGTGAGAAATCGTTTTCTGTTTGAAGAGGTGGGACTTTTGGAGATTTACGAAACAAAAGTGTTGCCGAAGTAGGCCTTGTGGGTAGAAGTTGATTCACACTGAGTAGAACAATTTTTCAAGGACGCTGGAAAGTTGGATGTGGCATGGTAGGGAGATGGGAACTTTCTGGAAAACTGGGAGGCACTTGAACTTCATCTTTAAGGTTATATATCTACTGCAAGCATAACATAAAGCAAAAAAAAAGCCCATAAAAGTTATTTTGGTGGCATTGGATAGTAAATGTGACCAATTTATGGAACACTTCTGCTCTGTCTGTAAAACTTGCCCTAAGCTTCCAGTTGCCTGGCACTTCACACATCACCGTGTTGCCATGGCAACATTTCTGTCTCAGGTCTGCTACAGTGCTCAGCAAGGTTCAATGCAAGCTGGAAGAACCTAGATATCTTATAGCCTTCAGGACTCAATACTGACATTAACAGTTTCAGAGCATGAACACCTTCCTCCATGTTTGTCCCCCACTCCCAGAACCTGTTCTCTGTGGTTGCTCCCACTTCCTATTTGCACCCATTCAGCATTTCCCGCTCTCCTACCCTATCATCAGCAATCTCTTTGTCTGCTTCCCTTTTTATCTCTTTTTCTCTCTCGGCACTGTGTCCATGTATTTGACTCACTCTTCTCCCCCAAACACCCACTCCCACCCCTCCCCATTATCAGCATTTCACCATATCTCCATTCTACAAAAGGTCACTGGACTCAAAATGCTAACTGTTTCTCTCTACACAGATGCTGCCATACCTGCTGAGTTTCTCGAGCACTTTCTGTTTTTGTATCTTTCCTTTAGTTTGGTTGACAAAGGCAGTGCCAGCTTTGGATTTCCTCAAAATACGCACACAGCAACTATTATTCAAATGTGTGTCTCAATAGCTGTCTTTCTCTTTTTGTTTTTCAGTAGTCGAGTCTATTTTGTACGTGCTGACACTCTACTGATGTCTGACTTCATCAACAGCTTCAAGAAAAAAATCACTTCCACTGCTTTAAGTGTCCTCAGTTACCATGACTGTGCCTTCTGGAACCAGAACTCATGCAAGAATGAGTTCCTTTTCTTGCGACCATTCAGACTGCAAGATTTTAAAAGATGACCCATCATCACAGATTCTAGTAAAATCACTCTGAGCTGAAAATATATTTTTACAGTTGGTTCCAACATATCATAGCAAATTCAGATTTGATTTATTTTGCTTTACAATATGGAGATGAATGTAATGTATGCAATCGAAAAGTTTTAAAAACAGTTTCATTGAGTCTTGTTAGGAATGGAATTGTAGAATCCCAGAATGGCGAAAGCACAAAAAGAGGGCCATTCTGCCAGTTGTTTCCATGCTAGCCCTCTCAAAGAACAACTTAGTTAGTGCCACTCCCGTGTGCCTTTTACCTGCAGCCCTGTAAATATTTCCTTTTCAGTATTTATTTTAAAACTTTTCTAGCTAATATACCACAGCAGTGTGAGTTTTCTGCACTACTGTTAAGTCTCATGAGCTATGTAAAAGTTTAATTGCATGATCTCAGAGTAAAACACTAGAACCTGATCCCATGTCCACTTATATGTCAGAAAATCTCCTTACTGAGGAATTTCAACCTAATTGTAACGTGGCCTTTTCACCATGAGTGTTCTAAAACTACTCTGTTTCATTGGTAAAATATTCCAGATGCAAATTATTACCCTACCAATCTAATTTCACACAAGATGTCTTCATAAATACGATAATTCAAAATGTATTTGCTGTGAGGACCTTGTTCTATCATGTTGTGACCCTCGTCATAGTTCCTTGTTCCACTCTTGTTGGCAGCATGTTACACATGTTGATACCCATTTACAAAAAGTCATTGCCCAAATTTTACTTTTGTATTTCTCATAAATTGAGCGATCACTTCAATGTGATGCAAACCATTAGCTGAATTTACATTCTGTAGATCCTACTCAGATTTTAAGCCTTCCATCAAATCATACCATGGCTTTATCCTTACAAGAGAAATGACCCAGGGTCAACTTTTCTTCAAAGCCTAGTCCCATTAGTTCTGGAATTTATAGAGCAGCTTTATTAATTTCAGATGCATGCCTAGTGCCAGCTTTGTGATGGGGTCAAGGGGCTTGTATTACATCAGCATCATAGTTCTTGTGTAAATTAAACCTGACTCCAAATTTAGGATAATATCAGAGCAAGGCAGTTCAAGTTCTTTTGAGGACAATGTCTGTGACTTATTCAGGAGCTAGTTTGGCCTCATCCACACTTATATGACCATTTAATGCCGATGCAATGCCGTAATTGCTGTACCATCGTAACACTGATGAATGCTGTTCCATGCTTTAACTCCCAAGATTCAATGTGTATTTGAAACACTTCTTTCAATTTATTGTTATGCATAATATAAGTTGGATATTTTAAAAAAGTTGTTGTTAAGGTTGAGAATCTATAAAATTGATGACTGGGTCTTTGTGTGGAAAGCTGGCTAGGGCTAACAATGAGTGGACATCTCTGAAGTCAGCAGTTGTCTGTGAGCACTGTTTCCCTTCATCTCTATAGGAATGTGAAGTGGGTCAGCAGCTGAGAGCAGATTTTTATAGTGCGCTGAGACTCTACAAAGAACTAATTTAAGGATATAATATGGGATACCATCTAAAAAGAGCAGATTTGCTCGGATCTTTCTCAGAGCAGAGACGTTTATAGGGCGATTTAATAGGAATTTGTTAGCGTAAATACAGCGAAGCCATTTCCACTGACTGGGATTGCAGTAAACAGAAGACAGAGATTTAAATTATTTGAGAGAAGAATCAGAGAGGGGGTGATATGGAAATTTCTTTCAAGTAGCAAGTTTGTGAAGATGTTAAATGTATATTAATTTGGTGTCCAATTGTTTTTTGGTTGTAGGTACTAACTCAGAAAGGGCCTTTCTGGTGCAGTTGTAGTGTCCCTACCTCTGGACTAGGGGCATCAACACAGGTCCAAACAGGTCAATTAAAAATAATTATATAGGAGCAGATGCAAACTGATCTTTCTGTATTTGACGGCAATTGGTTGTTGACATGTATCTCTACAGGTAAAAACTTATAATTGTATTAAGATCCAGTTCTATATCTCACTGCCTCTTTATCTGTTTCAGAGGAACAGGGTGGAGTAGATTCAATAATAACCAACAAAAGGATATTGGGCATATACTTGAAAAGAAACAAATGCAGGGTTGAGGGGAAAGAGCAGGGGAGTGGCACTAATTGGATCGTTCTTTCAGAATGCCAGCACAGATTGAATCACCTGAATGGCATCTTTCTGTGTTAGGAGATTCACCTGTGATAAATTATTTAAACCAGAAATTTTATTGCTTCAACATGAACAATCCCAGTAAGAAATATGTTATACTCCAGCAACTCTATAAAGGATCCTTTATTGCACTAAAACAATTTACAAATAGTATTACTGTATTATCAATAAAATCAATAATATATTTATTTTCTTGACCTGTAATAAATGTAAAGTATTTTTTTAAGTGAGCAAACTGTTGAATACTGTGGGAGATGATAGCAGACCTGGGCTCCATTATATAATTATCAAACATCAAAATTCACCATTAATGTCTGATCAGTTCTTTCATTACTATTTCAATGAAAAAAAATTAGGTGGAAGGAAGATGGAACCTTCAGAGATATATAAAGACCCTTGGGGTTTAGGTCACTATATTTCGCTTTCGAATCTTACAAAGGCACATCTAAAAGCAAATCCCTGTGTAAGATGGCTGCAGCAGCTTCACCTGAAGTTCTGGAGACCACATGTTCATAACCAAGCTTTTTATTTGACATAGAGTCTTGCTGCACAAAGAACTAAGCACAGTTTTTATTGAAATTGGAGCTGTCACACTGATGGAGATTGAAGTTAGTTCACTGGTGGGATTTGGGATGGTAATATCATAATAGCATGACACAGATGTTTTACTTACCTTAGAGTTAGGGAACAAATACAGCATGATCTCTTTTCTGACCAAGAAATGCTTAATGTTAACAATGGATTTTAAACATAGAAACATTTATCTTCACCACGACGAATTCACCTCATGGCCATAAATACAAAACAAAATGTAAAGCTCCTGCACTATTTTAAACTAGAGCAAAGGTGAGATAGTCACAGTTTGCATATGACTTCTGAAAAAGGCACAACATTGGTTTATGACCAATCTAGAAAGATAAAATGCATTATTGTAATGCTGCATCTTTAAGAGTCAATTTTGATTCAATCATTTAGTAGAAAACAGAATGATGTGCAATTAAAAAGGAATAGATCACTCCCCCATTCAGATCCCATCATTTTCTGACAGCAACCTGAAAGGTATAGAAGGCAGATGAGAGACTACTGAAAGCAGGAAAGAACTTTGTAAGTTTATACAAATTTCTGCAGTTAATTTATTGATGCAATTTTAGGAAGGCTTTGAGGATTGATCTGCAGTATGCTTTTATCGAGTGAGATCTATTATTTATTCTTTTTAAATAGCTAAATCTCTAAATTACACATCCTATAATTCAAATCATTGGAAATAAACTTTGTTTGGATCCAGCTTGTACAATCAACATTAAAGCTACAATAATTTTTTTTTTAATGGTTCATTGACCTGATCTTTCCTTACTTTCTGAAAAAATCCAGTTCTCATTACAGTTCTGGAAAACATTTATTTTTAAATCTCTTGAATCATGATTTACAAACTCTCTTCAAGTGCAAAGTACTAAATGGCTATTTTATGAGTGTGCGCTGCAGAAATCAAGCTTTACCCACTGGCAATCAACAAGAGAATGTTAGGTGCACCTCTTCCTGAAACCTGAAATCCCTGAGTTTTTTAAGATTTGGCTATATACAGCCTGTCAATTTCCGATATACATTTCTGGTTAAAAAACCTCTGTGCTGAAACTTGTAAAAGCAAATCTTTAGAAGCATTCATTCCAATTATTTCCTCAGTGCAAGTACATTTATTGTGCATAAGTCTCCTGAGATCCCAATTATTTCATTATTAAAGTGAAGCTGTTGAAAATTTGTATAGTTAGACATTTTCTCACACAGATGGGTGCAACTGTTAATCTTGTTCACAGACTTTTACAAATAGTTGATGTGTACCTAATTGAATATCGAAAGACTTCTGAGAATTAAATCTATAAGTCATTTTGCATTTACAACTGACTTTAAGTCTACTGATTGAGAAGTGATGAATGCAAAGCAATGAGCTTACTGTATGTGGCGCAAATATATTTATTAACATACACAAACCTGAGATATGAACCAATTCAATACTGTTCTCCAAGGAACCTTTTAATACATTTTTTCTGATTTAAACAGGTGGTTGCAAATACTTGACATCTGTCCATGTTGTACTGGTCAATATGGCACTCCATAATGCTGGCGTCCTGTAATGCACAATATGTGGAAAAACAGGTAGCTATATAAATTGACATCTTTGTTTCTGGTAGATAACTTTGTCAGTGTGGAGCTAATGGATTGTGATAAACTATAAAGTGCATATTATCGAAGTATGCTCTGTTGACAATAACAAATGAAAATAAAATGTTGTTAAAACCTACATTATTCTGGAACTAACTTGATTACATATAACAGAATTTGCAAGTGAGTTTAATTTTTTCCAGCACTGCGGTGTTTAAGACACTCACATTGACTTCCTTTGCACAGTATTTTAACAGAGCCTTATGCCTTTAGGTTATACAGATTAGTGAATGTGCTAAAATCCGCAGCGAACTATCAGAAGAAATGGAACTACCACAAATATCCTTAGTCATTTCTCTAGACCTGGTTCATATGAACCATCTTGTTCATTAGAAAATGCATAATAGCCTGTAGGAAATTAATCCTTCATAAACTAATATACAACACTAATTTTTACCATTTTCTGGCTAAGTCTAATTTTCATTAAGTTTCATTGTGAGGGGGTCCCTCTCCTTGAGGTCGAGCAAGTTTTCTCACACCATCACTTTATACTTGCCTCATTAACTACTTACCATGCATCCACGGCACCCCTCTCATCCGCTGCAAGCCTAGTTCTCCCACTTGTCATTATTAAATGTACTCACCACTGATCCCTGGCACTTGTACCAT